CCAAGGTTTTCCCTCCAGGCTTTATTAGGGTTTTTCAAGGTCTACTATTATTATTATTTAATCCACTACTTCTACTACTACGGTTTTTGCAGCCAACATCTTAAAAGACTCAAACAAACTCTCGTTTGTACGAACAACAACAAACAACGAGGAGAAGGAGAAGGAGAAGAAGAAAAAAAATTTGCTTTTCTCTCTCTCTCTCTCTCGCTCTCGCTCTCTCTCCCTTTCAAAGCTTAATCTTTTAAATTTAAATTGACGCGATGCCATTTTTCTTATTCTCGATATTTATGTACGAAAAAAAAAAAAAAAAATTAATGTATTATTTCATATTCGAAACAATAATGATAATAATAATAATAATAATAATAATAATAATAATAATAATAATAATGATAATAATAATAACTTTACTTATTTTTAAACTGACCTTCGTTTTTAATTGTGTAAAACAAAATCGACTTTTATAAATAAAAAAAAATTTAATGTATCGAACAAAAGAAAAAACAAATTTAATTAATACCGGTTTTAAAAAAAATTTAAAACCGGTAAAAACTTATATCGAACGACAAACGAAAACAATTAATAATAATAATAATAAATTTTACCTGTAAAAAATTTTTAATTGGTTTTTGCCCCTCAGAAAAAAAAAAAATAATAATAATAAAAATAAAAATAATAAAATGAATGTGAAAACCTCATTATTTTCCGCGATGAAAATCCAAAAGTATCATTATTATTATTTATAAAAAAAAAATTACGCCGCGTTTAAAATTCGACGAGAGAGGAAGAGAGAGAGAAAGAGAGAGAGAGAGAGAGAGGAAAAGAGAGAGAGAGATAGAGAAAATCGTATGAGTTACTTGTATGAAAATGCCCGCTGAAATTATACAACACAAATTTTGTATCCAATTAAAAGTTTTATTCTAGAAATTTTCCAACGAGAGAGAGAGAGAGAAAACAAACAAAACATTATAAAATATATACATATATCTGCCTCCACGTTTTTTTTCAGACGTTTTACAACTCGGCAAATGCTGTCGTCAACGTAACCGTTTTCTACGAAAGTCTTTGTCCCGACAGCATAAGGTTTATTAAAAAGCAACTTCATCCCACCTACTCGGAACTTAAGGATTACATGAACGTGGAACTAGTGCCTTTTGGAAAAGCTCGAGTAAGATAAATTTTT